TTCTTCAAAGCGGCTAAGTTCCTCTGTGGTAACTAAGTCAAGGACGCCACGCGACCGACTTCGACGCCTGGAACCTAAGCGGGCACACTTCATCCAAGATGGAGAGTTCAATTTTTTTCAATTGAGCTCCTTACATCCTTCTGACAAACCTCGACTTCGCGTAAGTCTGAGCTCGGCTCCTGGTTGAACAGCTCGAACATCGATTCTAATAGCTCGGATGCTCGCCCCAATAGCCCGGACGCCTGACTAATTGCTCGGACATCTTCTTCAACAGCTCGGCTCCCAGTCAGACAGGTTGGAAGCCTATTCCTAACAATTAGCGACATGTTGGTCAGCTCAGACAACCTCAGGACGGTGTTGCTTAGAGGATGTAAGGTGCTCGGGGACTAGCTATAGGGGTATGACCCCCAATACCCATAGGGTTGTACATGGGCCGAGCCGTCAGGGGAGGCCTAGCCCACAAGACTACGCCGCGCGGAGCACAACACAGGTCGGTGTGCTTTGCAAGACTACGTGAAGATCCTTGACGATCAAGGATGATCTGTTCGGATATGCTAGATCACGTAATATTTGTAACTTCCTATCTTGTAAACTGATGAGGATAGAAACAACCAATCTATAACCCTACCCCCCAGGCTATATAAGGCGGGTAGGGACCCCCCCTCGTTTTCATCTGATCATACACAATACAACCCACTGAAAGACATAGGACGTAGCATATTACGCCAAGTCAGTGGCCTAAACCTGCCTAATCGTTGTCTCTTGCGTTCTGTGTCACTGTCCGGTTCCCTCAAACGCACCTCCACCGATTCATCTACTACTGTGGGCATCCCCCTTAGTAGACTGTCAACTAGATTTCATGGACACGCGTCGTTTTCCTGACTATTACCATGGTAACTAGGTCATTTCAAGACATTAGGCTCTAGTAGGCACCTAAGGCTACCAATTTTGCTAAGACTCACACAAAAACAATCAACACGAAGGGCACAATCAACACGGAGGGAGAGCAAAGGTGCGAATAGCGGGAGAGCAAGGGTGCTAAGTTGGGATTGACAGGACATTCCACGGGCCTTTGAGCCTGCTTTTAGGGGGGTCTAAGAACTTGGTAACGATCTAAACCAGCATACGTACTCGAAATTGGGTGTTTGAACTCCTCAAAGTAGCTAAGTCCTAACCAAAGCTTCATTTAAACTAATGTGAACAGAACATGTCAACATTGCTAGAATAGCAAGTTAAGGACTCAGACTTAGGAAAACAGACACTAGAGTGCACCACGTGCATTTATAGAAAAGTAGCACAAGAAATACATGCATTTAATCAATGGCTTAACACTGAGGGCGTTACATCTATAGTCTTCGCCTAGCTCTGGAAGTTGGATCATCGTCTAGGCTAAGGTTCGTGATTCTCCATTCCATTTTTCATTTTGTTGTGTGGATCTGTATCGTTCTGCATGTGTTTCTAATATGAAATTGTTCTTTGTTGATTATAACTGTCTCGGTGGCTTGTTGTTGTTGGGTGGCTTGTTGATTATATCTCACTGCTCTCTCTAACTCCCACACTATGCTATCCTACACTACTAAGGTAGGATGGAGCTTTTCTACTCTTCACTTGGAGCTTGAGTCATGAATGGAGAGGGGGTGAGCCTTTATTTATAGAGGGGTAGAGGTGGACCCATGGATCCATGTGCTCCTCACACCAACCCTTGGATCAAATCGACTTGAAATGGTGGGTTATGATGCTCCACATTTGTGCTTCCTTGCGTGGGTGATTGCATAAAGGCGGTGGATTGAGATGGGGGTCGATTGACCAGGGGGTTGGCCGACCCACTATCTACCCTGTGGGCCCATCCCCTTTGGTGGGGTGGGTCCACACTTGGTGTAGAGTGGGTATGTGCTGAAAATTCCACCTTGGCACAACAGTTTTGCTTGCTTGTGGGCCATCCAATCCCACACAAATTTCATATCGGAGGTTTTTGCAATATTTTTCAAAAGAAAGACTTAATGTTTCGCATATGGTACTCTCGTGTCACTCATATAGTGTATGATTCCTTACCAAGGCACATTTTTGAAGTTGCCTTCTCATCCTACTTCTAGTGGCTTATGTGGAGCTTTGGGCAGGATAAAAATGTAGCATACATACCTTGCATATATTGTAAAGCCAAAGCTTGGATCCAAGGAAGAAGTGTCATACTCTTAGATCAAGATGTGCATGCGTGTAGAACATGATATATGAAAAATACTCCTTTTGTAGATACGATCTCTTTCTCTAACTTATTATTTTGAGATATGGCTATCTTTCTTTTCTCAAGTTTCTTTTTTCTAAGCATGAGCCTTCATATGCTCATATATTTTTTCAATACTTTGGACCTTCATGTGTCCATATTTTTCTTTTCATACTTTGCATAGCCTTATGTCTCATCCACTAAAAACATATTTAGAGAGAGATTATTCTTTTAGAACATGGAGCATTTATTTGGTGAAAATGAAAGACATGTTTGTGCGTACTTTTAGTATAGAAGCAACACATATATATGGTGTGTACGTGACTTGATCTTGTGAGCATGATAAGTCTCTCAACAAGGGTCTACAAGACTTGATAAAACTCAACGTAAAGCAAGCAGCTTATGTAGAAAGCTTATATCACGAAAAGATCATAAATGGCTTCAATAGGCATTTATCACCATTGAGGAACATCAAGGTTTTCATTATTTTTCAAAGATAAAACTTCGATAATCATACTCATTTGGGACAACATTATCGTAACTCTTGTCTTGCTATCTCATATCTCACAACAACTTAGACTTAGTTACAACACTTGCGCCACAAAGTTTTAGATTCATGGTGGTTTCATATGAGCTAAAGAACCCAACATAGAGAAATACCAAGCTGTATACTAGGTATTAGAGAAGCATTAACAGAGCAACTATCCATCATCTCCAAAATGGAAAGGGTTAAACATTCATGAAGCATATATAATTGGAAATATTTTTGATATTTTTTTATCATATTTAGATTTTTTACATGCAAATTTTTAAAAATTCAATAAAGGAATAAATAAACAGTGCAAATGCAGAAAATAAAAACTTACCTTAGCGGGGGAGGGAACCTTTCCCAAACTTGTCTTTTTGCTAGCTCTGTCCAGGTGGTGGGTAGACACCTCTTTGTTGCCAATACGTCGTCCATTGGCGTGCGTTCTCTTGTTGTATTGCTAGCGGAAGTTGGTAGTTCTGATCAATGCCGCCTCGCATGACTCCTTGGTTGATGCCGACCTCACCAGCTCGATTGGTGAGTTGGTTCACATCTTGCCTCGTGGCATGAAATTCCCTCTCTCGCGAGGATGAGAAGGAAAATCGAGCACTTTGAGCTCGTGGTGGTGGTGGCATCCCGCTTGAAGTTGAGATTTGCATCGCACTTGACGTCTCCTCCTGCGATGTGCCTCTTTTTGACGTCTACTCTTTGAAATTTTCCTATTTGGCTTCCATAGTAGTAATCTGGTTCTTTGGCATTTTTTTTATTATTTGTATGTTTTATATGGTTTTCATTTGAAATATTCAAATTCGGCTTCCATAGTAAAAATCTGTTTTTCTGCCACTTTGTGTTTTATTTGGCTTCGGTATGAATTATTTCAATTTGGCTTCCATAGAATAAATTTGGTTTATTATTTTTATTATTTTTTATTTATGTGCTTTATATGTTTTATTTGGTGCATTTGATCTAGATCTCGTGGTTATGAGAATCAAGTGTTTCATTGTCTTGAAACACTCGATTGTATCATCTGATATTTTTTATGTGTTTTTCAGCTATCTAACACTCAGATTTCAGGAGCAGGTGCGTTTGGTTCCTAGGATGAGATAGGATGGAGCCGTTCCATCCCAGTTTCTAGCCTGTTTGGTTCACGGACAGAAGAATGGAGCCATCTAGTCTAGGAATATTTTGTCAGTCCAGGAATATTCTGTCTAGATGCCGGACGCCCCCGCTCCCCAAAATCCATCGGACGCACTCGCTCTCGTTCGTTCCGGTCTCATGCCGTCTGTTTCCCGCAAGAGCGCACAGACAGACGATGGCGGCGCGTGTCAGGCAGCCGATGACGCAAGCGGTGGCGCGAAAGCGGCGACTTGTGTCTTGAGGACGGCGCGACCAACCGGTGGCACACGAGCTTCAGCGGGCGGCGGGGCGCAGCGGCGGCGTCTTTGGAGGCGGGCGGCGGCGGCGGCACGTGCTGGAGGTGGGCGGGTGGTGGCAGCGCGGGCTAGGGGAGGGCGGCACTGGTGCGAGCTGGAGGCCGGCGATGGCGGCAAGAGCTGGGGCAGCCATCGATGCCCAAAGGAAGAGGATAAGGTTTAGTTTGACTGACATGTGGGACCCACAGCGACTGGGCTAACGGAGCTGTCATCCTGCTTGCTGTCCCTCCAACCAAACACCAAAATAGAACCGCTCCGTTTTTTTAACCAAACACCAAAATAGAACCATCACATTCCTAATCATGAGCAGAACCGTTTCATCCTACCTCGCTCTCCAACCAAACGCACCATAAAACACCTGAGCCTAGAGTAGACAATTTTTTTTTAAGGACGAAGGGAGTAAGACCCTATATGCCGTGAGAGCTGCTTTGGGACTGGGAGGAGTTGACCGGCCTCCACGCCTGGGCAGTGCGCGCTTTGCGACGTCGGAGGCCACGCCTCTCAGCTGCCGCCTGGTTGCAGTTGAGTCAACCACTTGTAGTTCACTGCCACGACAGGTTAGTAGAATTACAGGGATCCAGCACAGTGCGAGTTTGCCAAGGAAAAGCAACCCGAAAAAAAAAATTCCGGGCAATGAGTTGACTCCCTCTTGTTGTCGGTACTGCTACTGCTTCGTGCCCGATCGAGCCCTCACCCTCACACGTTCTTGCACGTTGACGTTGGCACAACAGCATAGACACTACTTGATCGATCATCGGCACTCAAAACATAAAATGAAACCATCAGCTCCTGCTCATTCCAGCCGGCGTAAGTTTCCAAGATGAAGCCTAACAGCAGCAGCAGGAGCCAGGTCGTCCGCAGAGCTGCATCCACCACCGGGCTGCTCTTCGTCCTGCTGCTCGTCGTCTTCACCGCGTCCAACTACTCGTCGCTCAACACCGACCGGCTCCTCGACGTGCCGCCCAATGCCGCGTCTCATGCGAAGACGACGACATCTTCGCCCTCCCTGGTGGAGGGGAGCGCGGCGTGCGACGTCGCGAACGGCGAGTGGGTGCCCGACCCCGCCGCGCCCTCCTACACCAACGCGACGTGCCCGTTCATCGACAGCCGCCAGGACTGCATGAAGTACGGCAAGCCTGGGATCGACTCCATCCTCCGGTGGCGGTGGCAGCCGCACGGCTGCGACCTGCCCCGCTTCAACCCGGCCACCTTCCTCCGCCTCGTGCGCCACAAGTCCATGGCCTTCGTCGGCGACTCCGTGGCACGAAACCACATGCAGTCGCTCATGTGCCTCCTCTCCAAGGTCACACACATACACTTTTGTTCAGCCAGCGCACGTATCACCGGGCATTGCAATGCAACGTTTAGATCGGTTGCCGCGCGCATGCAGGTGGAGTACCCGCAGAAGATTCAGCCCAAGGACTGCATCCACTGCACGCGCACCTACCACTACCGCGAGCACAACTTCACGGTGACAGTGTTCTGGACGCCGTTCCTGGTGCGCTGGAACCTGACGCGCGCCGGGGCGCAGCAGTTCATGGACCCGCACAACGTGTACCTCGACGAGGCCGACCCGGAGTGGGCGCGCGCCGTCGCGGGCTACGACTACGTCGTCCTCAACGGCGCCAAGTGGTTCACCCGCCCCGCGGTGTTCCACGAGCGCGGCCGCATCCTGGGCTGCAGCGACTGCGGCGACCCCAACGCCACGTACGTGCCGCCGCACCGCGCCGTGCGCGCCTCGTTCCGGACCGCGTTCCGCGCGCTGCGGGACGAGGCCACGGGGTTCCGCGGCAAGGTGTTCGTCCGGACCGTGGCGCCGCCGCACTACGAGAACGGCAAGTGGTACGACGGCGGGAACTGCCTCCGGATGCGGCCCTCGCGGAGCGGCGAGACGGGACTCCCGGAGACGGAGGCCGCGTTCCACGCCGCGCAGGTGGAGGAGTTCCGCGCCGCGGCGAGCGCGGCGGCGCCAGGACGGTTCGTGCTGCTGGACGTCAGCGAGATGATGCAGATGAGGGGTGACGGGCACCCCGGCCCGTACGGGCACTGGCCGCACGAGAAGGTCGGCTTCGGCATCGACTGCGTGCACTGGTGCTTGCCAGGCCCCATCGATGCTTGGAGCGACTTGTTGCTTCATTTGATCGCTAATTGATGCACGACACGCATGTTCATACTGTAATTCTGTACATGTTGCATCGAATTGGTTGCAGAAGTGTTATGGTTTATGCATTGTCTATTGTGTCATAGCAGCCATTGTGCGTTCTACACCGTTTGAGCACATCCTACAAGTCCAAGCTGCATACTGCTATTATTCTACTTCTCCCATCAGGGAAACTAAGCTTATTGTTGGCTATCTGCCGCCAACAATAAGCACCACGTTATTATCAACCATAACTCCATAAGTCAACTACAGACCTCAGATGTTTTCAATTGTGATGTGCAGAAGAGGGGTGGATCCAACATCCAAGGCACAGATTGCGCTGAGCAGATGGTAGCCAACAATAAGCACCACGTTATTATCAACCATAACTCCATAAGTCAACTACAGACCTCAGATGTTTTCAATTGTGATGTGCAGAAGAGGGGTGGATCCAACATCCAAGGCACAGATTGCGCTGAGCAGATGGCATGTTACTGTTTGGTAGTACAGTCACTACGTTGCCATGAGCCTGTTCGGGAGGCCGTATCGTATCGTGGATTATTTACTGCTGGCTGGTTTGGTGTGAGAGAAAAACACTGTTCCCGGATGAAAATTTACGATCGTTTACGAGCAAGCGAACAGGCTGATGGATTATGGCCTGCAGATCAGGATCCAGCTCTGATGAACTGATGAAACTTGCACCCGATGCTAAAAAATGGACACTTGAAATTTTCCTCTTTCCAGAAGGGCATCGTAAACTTAAGGTGCTACTGCCATCAACTTAATGGTCAATGAAGAAATGTGTTAAGTCTTCTTATGCGATTAAGTCAACCAGCTCAACCATTAAAGTTGTTTAGTTGAGCAGCCTGCATGTCAAGGCAATGATTCCCTGTCCAGGAAATCTGACAACAGCGGAATCATGGATTGCACGTTGCACGTCTTCCCGCTCCCTGTTTTGTCTCCGATCGATGGGACATTGCCAATGCAGCCTAATGGAGCTCCACAATGTCCCCCTCGTTGCGACTTGCGATTACTACGATGAGAAGCTGAAGCAAGTCAACCACTCGGGAGCCGGACACAATGGCTGGCCGGCCCCTACACAAAGAAAGAAAAGTGTATCCTGCACAACTATTTTGCTTGCTTTGAACAATGCAGAGTTACTTTGCTTCGAACAATGGCAAAAAAGAAAAGAAAAAGCTTCGTAAATTTACAGAAGAAATCAAGCAGCATTTCCTTGAGCTTGAATGCTAGCACGAACAGTGCTATTGTTGAGAAAGCAGTATCTGGAGCAGCAGCTCGCTCCACAGGTCGATCGGCCCCGGCAAGCACCAATGCAGGCAGTCCACCACGAAGGTCCCGTCGACGCTGCCACCGGGCGGGTGGCCGTACCGGCTCGGGTGGCCGTCCGGCCGCAGGTCCATCGCCTCCGTGATGTCCAGCAGCAGCAGGTCCGCGCCGTTCCGCCGCACCGCCGCCTCCGTCTCCCTGAGCGCATCAACCTAAAGCACAGAAGGATTCATCAAGTCAGATACTCAGATGTCGCGTTCCACGTTGCAAAGAAACGACGGCACGTCGAGGGGCATGGACATCGTCGATTCCCCACCTGCGCTGCGCGGTACTCGGCCTCCACGGCGCCAAGCTCGCGCTCGCCGCGCCGGAACGGGCGTGTGCGGACGCAGTCGCCGCCGGTGTTCCACTGCCCGTTCTCGAAGTGCGCTGGCGTCACCGTGCGGAGGATGACCTTGCCGCGGAACCCCTCGCTGGCCGCGATGGCGCCCAGCGCCGTGCGGAACGCGGCGCGCACGGCCCGGGGCACGGGCAGCTCGGTCGAGTTTCCGGCGGCAGCTCCGCTGCGGGCGGCGTCGTTGCGCCCCACGACGCGCCCTCCCTCGCGGTACACCGATGGGCGCAGGAACCAGTTGGTGCCTGACATGACGACGTAGTGGAAGTCGGCGATGTGCGCCGCCCACCGGGCGTCCGCCGTGTCGAGGTGGAGGTCCCACTGGCCGAGCGTCGCGTTCGACATGTTGGCCTTCACCAGGAAGGGCGACCAGAAGAGAGAGATGGTGAAACCGTGGTGGCCGTAGTGGTAGTCTTGCCGGACGACTCTCCCCGTCACGTCGATCTCCGGCGCCGTCCTGACCGCCACCGGCTGTGCCTCCTGCAACATGCCCCGCGCGTCTCGTCAGGAGCCAGGAGGAGCGAGACGAGAGAGAAACTAAGAACCGAATTAACACAAGCTGCATACCTTGGACAAGAGGCAGAGCAAAGATTTGGCGTGATTCCTGGAGAGGGAGTCCCCGACGAAGGCCATGGACTTGCCCCTCATGGCCTCCAAGAACCGCGCCGCGTCGAAGCGCGGGAGGTCGCACCCGTCCGGCCTCCACCGCCACCGCATGAACTCGAGGCTGGGCTTGCCGAACTTGATGCAGTTCTGGTGGTCGTCGATGAACGGGCACGTCAGGTTCGTGTAGTAAGGCGCCTCGGTGTCCGGCACCCACTCGCCCCGCGTGAAGTCGCAGGCACTGGCGACGCCAGCCGGAGACGCCGACGACGAGGAGATGGACGACGCGACGCGGTGGATGGGCGGGTAACGATTAGAGAAGGCCATGTCGTAGAGCGAAACAAGCGCAAGGAGCAGCAGGACGATGATAGGTGTGGCAATGGCGCCCGATCGCTTTGGGGAGGACGACGGGCTGCTCTTGTGGGGCTTCATGATCGAGGGACACAGCTGTGGTGTGATGGAAGCAATTCAAGATGCTTTCTTGCTTAGAAGACAGGGTCGCAGGGAATGGAAGAACGGAGAAAATGCAGGATGTGCAGCGCAGATTGCGCTTTGTAGTGCCTGTAGGCGATGCAGATTGCAGGTCAAAGTGTGCGTTGCACGACTGCCATTTCTCAGTTTCTTTTACAGAGAACCCTGCCACACAGGTCTCGGCAGCGGCAGCACCTAGTGTTAGCATTGCACTTTAAAAAAAAACTACTCTGCTGCACAGGCCACGGTGCCTGCGTTAGGCTTGTGATTGTGGAAAAAAAATGTGAATTTACTTTGTTCTGGACATAGCAAAAACATCAATTTACAGAAGCCTTTTGTAGTTTGGAAGCATTTGCATTTTGCATCACTCACTCGATGTCAACACGAGCAATGCTATCGATGAGCAGCCAGCAACTGGAACAGCAGCTCGCTCCACAGGTCAATGGGCCCCGGTAAGCACCAGTGCAGGCAGTCCACCACGAAGCTCCCCTCCACGCTCCCGCCAGGCGGGTGTCCGTACCGGCTCGGGTGCCCGTCCGGCCGCAGTTCCATGGCCTCCGTGATGTCCAGCAGCCGCAGCTCCGCGCCGTTTCGCTGCGACGTCGCCTCGGTTTCGCGGAGCGCGTCAACCTGCGTAGGCCCAAAAAGACAACCATCGGATTCAGATCAAACCACTAGTCATTCTTGTCACGTCTCCGCGTCGCCAGCGAATATTCGTGCTGCCGCGTAGAGAGAGGGCATGGCATGGGCCGGCATGGGGACTGGTTCCTCACCTGTGCCGCGCGGAACTCGGCCACGACGGCGTCCCGGGCGCGCTGGCCGCGGCGGAACGGCCGCGTGCGGACGCAGTCGCCGCCGGTGTTCCACTCCCCGTTCTCGAAGTGCGCGGGCGTGACCGTCCGGACCAGGGCCTTGCCGCGGAACCCCTCGCGGCCCGCGATGGCGCCGAGCGCCGTGCGGAACGCGGCGCGCACTGCGCCGGACACGGGCATCTCGGTGGCGTTGTGGGCGCCGCTGGCGCCGCTGTTGCGCCCGACGGGCCGGCCGCCCGCGTGGTACACGGAGGGGCGGAAGAACCAGTTGGTGCCCGAGAGGACGATGTAGTCGAAGTCGGCGATGTGAGCCGCCCACCGGGCGTCCGGCGTGTCGAGGTACATGTCCCACAGGCCCAGACCGAGCTCCGCGTCTGAGAGGTTGGCCTTGACCAGGAAGGGCGACCAGAACAGGGAGACGTTGAAGCCGTGGCTGCCGTAGTGGAAGTCTCGCCGGACGGCCCGCCCCGTCACGTCGATCTCCGTCGTCGTGACGATCTCCACCGGCTGTGCCACCTGCAACATGTATGTACGAACGCCCGTTGCATCAGCAGCAGAGGAGCAGAAGAAGTGCAGGATCGGCTTGCCATGAGACGCGGACATATTCTCGTGCGAGTTGCCAAGAGCAACGTGTTGTCCAACGGCGGCAACATGGATTGTGTAGTACCTGGGAGAGGATGCACAGCAGAGACTTGAGGTGATTCCTGGCGAGGGAGTCCCCGACGAAGGCCATGGACTTGCCCCTCATGGCGTCCAAGAACCGCGCCGCGTCGAAGCGGGGGAGGTCGCACCCGTCAGGCTGCCACCGCCAGCGCATGAACTCGAGGCTCGGCTTGCCGAACTTCATGCAGTTCTGGAGGTCGTCGATGAACGGGCACGTCAGGTTCGTGTAGTACGGCGCCTCTTCGTCCGGCACCCATTGACCACGCGTAAGGTCGCAGGCGGCCTCGATGGCGTTGGCCGGAGACGGCGAAGACGAGGAGGAGTTGACCGGAGACGACGCTGAAGACGATGTGTCCGGAACCGTCGATGACGAGGAGTTAGTGGCCAGAGACGGCGTCGACGACGACGACGCAGAGGATGAAGAGGAGGCGCGGCGTATGTACAGGTAACTATCAGCGAAGTTGAAGTCGTAGAGCGAGACGACGGCGAGCGTCAGCAGGACGAGCACCGGCGTGGCAACGGCGACGGAGATCTTCCGCGACGATAGGTTGATCTTGTGGGGCTTCATGGCCGAGCGGCGGCGTACGCGAACGCGATCGAGGAGATACGGATCCGGAAGCTACCTACTTGCTTGCTTTGGTTAGGAGAGAGGGCCGCATGGAATGGAACAAGAAAAGGTGCACGGGCCGCAGGGCGTGTCGTGTGCAGGTAGCTTGCTTGTTGCCGTTGTCGTGGTGGCGGCCGCGTGGGGGTCAAAGTGCGCGTCGCGCGAGCAAGCCATTTCTCTCTTGGCGACGGAACCTGGTACGCTGCATGGGTTCCTAGTTTAAGACTGACGACGAAGCATTCTCCTCCGTAAGCGACTATAAGCGTTATATTATATAATATAACCGCGTTTATTTCTCATCACCCCGTGCCTTCTTTCTGAATTCCGATGACGATAGTATTCTGAAGCACGTCGCAAGTAAGTCAAATTCAGGTTGCTGCACATTCCTGGAAGCCCAGTTTGCGTCTTCCGAACCCCGAGTAGGATCACCGCGAAATCAAGGAGTCACCGTTGTTTGTTTCAGCCCGAAGACTAGGACTCGGTACGAGCTGGTCAGAGAGAACTACAGGTGAGCATTTTGAAGACAGATTGCAAACATGGTTTGAGCTGAATGAAAAAGGAAAATTTTGGAAAGGAAGTGTAACTGCACCCTGTGCAATATTCCTGAGCGTACTGAACATATTTTGTCCCAGTGTCACTTTTGTGAAGAGGTTTACGTGTGGACCTGCTTGTATTAAGCAGAAATGGAAGCCGAATCTCGCGTTAGATTATTGCACTCTTACGGATGGCACGTTCTCACTCTTATTGACACTGTGACCAAGGGGGAAATGGCTACGTTTCTCTCTGCATGGGTAACAAATAAAGTTAATCATTTTTTCACATAAGGGAAAGCTTCTACTTTGCTGTTTGTATTTATGTCATTAGTACCTCGGTGATAATACCGAATTGAGATCGGACGTCCAATGCGTTAGCGTTGGATGGTGCCCCGCGTGCAAGAGAAACGGAGCCTGCACCGCCTATTTTTCGGACGCCCCACCACGTGGGCCTCCACGCCTACGCTCGGTTTCTCATGCTCCCATCTGCGCCCGCTCGGCTGCGCCCAGCAGCGGGCCCACGCCGCCCGGACGTCACGCAGAACTGCAGCAGGGGGCTACGGCAGGTGACTCATATTGCAACATATGCAACACCAGATCTACTTTGCAACACTCAGATAAAACACTTGCAACATATGTCCAAAACAGTTGAAAACACTTGCAACATACGTCAAAAACACTTACAAGACACCTAGAAAACACTTGAAAGACATTGCAAACATATGCAACATCCAGATGAAACACTTACAATAAACGTATGAAACACCTGAAACACTTGAAAAATACGCTTGCAACATGCATGTATATGCAACATCCAGAATTGCTTTTGCAACATCCAGATAAAACCCTAGCGACATACATCTGATACAGATGAAACATTTGGAACATACACTTGAAACATACGTGTCTAGCCATTGCAACATCATGATCTACTTTTGCAACATCGCGATCTACTTTTACAACACCGATGGAAAACACTTGCAATATACATCTAAAACATCTAAAACACCTGAATGGAGACTCGTCGACGCGTGGAGGTCATCGGTGTGCTCGCTGGCGGTGCGGATAAAGATGGCAACGGGTAATATCCGCGCAGATAGTGGCTTCGCACGCCGGCGCCCGCGGGAAAAATCTCATGCCCGCACCCGCACCCGCCACGGGCAGCAACCTGTGCCCGTGCCCGCGGACACAGATTCATGCCCGTATCCGGGCTCGCGGGTCGGGTGCCCACGGGTACGCGGGTTTTTTCTGCCCGTTGCCATCTTTAGTAATATCCGCGCGGATAGTGGCTTCGCACGCCCGCGCCCGCAAGAAAAATCTCATCCCCACACCCGCACCCGCCACTCGCCACGGGCAGCAACCTGTGCCCGTGCTCGCGGGCACAAATTCATGCCCGTATCCGCGCCCGCCGGGTCGGGTGCCCGCGGTACGCGGGTTTTTTCTACCTGTTGCCATCTTTAGGTGCAGAGCTAGGCAGCGGCACACAAAAGGGCCAGAGGGGTGGGGTGGCACGGGTAGCGGTGGCGCAGAGGGCGGTGTGGGTGGCGCATGGAGGTCACCCGTGTGCTCGCCAATAACGTGGAGTTGGATGGTGGCACACAGAGGGCAGGTGTGGGGCGGCACATGCGGCGGTGGCGAAGAGGACGGGTTGGCGCGGCAGCGGTGACGCAAGGGGTGGGTGAAGTGTCTGAACGATCGGATGTCGTGACCCAGCATTTCTACCCATTTTTTACAATTTGGCTTTTTTTAAAGAAAATTTACGTTTAGCCCCATGGGAGACGTAAACTCACCTTTGGACCCTTGGGGTCGGCGCCAGGACTCATGGCGCCGAGATAACACGTCTCGGCGCCACAGATCTTGGCTCCGAGGTGCCTGGCCGTGCACAGCAGGGCATTCTAGATGGCGTTGATGTGGCCGGTACCTCAGTGCCAGAATACATGGCTCCGAGCTCGACACCACAGATCTTGCCGCTGACCTCGGAGCCGTCGGATGATGTGCTGCGACGAAGGTGATGAGACGTGCAAGTGGTAGCAGGCCCACACACCACACACCGCTCTCATCTCCTCCCCTCTGACACGGACGGCAGGTGCCCGCCAGTCTGCCACCATGCGCGCGCTCGGTACATATTGCTTTTGCTCCTGCAGGTGGAGAGCTGGTGTCAAATCATCTAGCCCCTACTCGTCCGAAATTAAATCGCGCTTTAGGTTTTCGTGCCACAAATTTAACAAAATACGTGCAATATTTGTATCTCTAAATAAATTTAATAAAAAACTAGATTCAAAAATTTTTCTAACGATACCAATTATGTACCATAAATATTAATATTTTTTAATATATATTTTATTAAAGTTATTTCTCAGAAAGCGAAAACCACATATGTTTTCTGACAGAGGGAGTACTTGGATATTCATTCCGCATCTAGCCCCTATTCATGTACCTACTGTTTGGTTTGGGCCTTTTTTTTTGTTGGTGAATTTTTTTGAAATGGTACTGTAGCACTTTCGTTGTTATTTGGCAATTAGTGTTCAATCATAGTCTAATTAGGCTTAAAAGATTCGTCTTGTGAATTTCGTCTAAACTGTGTAATTAATTTTATTTTTTATTTATATTTAATGCTTTATACATGTGTCTAAAGATTCGATGTGACGAAAAATCTTAAAAAAATTTGCAAAATTTTGGAAACTAAACAGTCACTTAGTTGTTGCCAGAATGCCAGTTGCTACCCACTAGTGCTTCTGGCGTTACTGCACTGCAGCTACCACGGTGGCGGGCCCTGTGTACGGGTAGCAACTTTGGATTCTCTGAGCAATGTGGAACGTGTCTGCCTCTGCCTACTGCCTTTGCTGGTGACCTTTGGCCTGGCCTCATCGTGTGGAACGTGTCTGCCTCTGCCTACTGCCTTCGCTGGTGACCTTTGGCCTGGCCTCATCGTCAGGTCAATGCAGAGTCGGTCACTCGCTGGCTGGCGAGAAGTGAGCAGCTCACTCCTTCAGGGCAGCCCAATAACTGCACCGTGGCCGGATGCTGCTGGTCAGTACTCGAGACGCGGAATGAATATGCATGAACAGGTACTTCCTCACTCTCAAAATATACATCGTTTTTGTTTCTCGAAAAATAACTTTGACAAAATATATATTAAAAATATTAATATTTAAGATACATAATTGATATTATTAAAAAAATCTTTGAATCTAATTTTTTAATAAATTTATTTGGAGATACAAATATTACACGTATTTTATTAAATTTGCGGCACGAAAACCTAAAGCGCGATATAATTTGGGACGAGTAGGGGCTAGATGATTTGACACCAACTCTCCACCTGTAGGGGCAAAAGCAGCATGCACCGAGCGCGCATACGGTGGCAGACTGGCAGGCACCTACCGTCCGTATCAGAGGGGAGGAGAGGAGAGTAGTGTGTGGTGTGTGGGCCTGCTACCGCTTGCACATCTCATCACCTCCATCGTAACACATCATCTAACGGCTTCGAGGTCGGCGTCAAGATCTGTGACGCCGAGCTCGGAGCCATGTATTCTGGCGTCGAGGTACCGACCACATCAACGTCACATAGGATGCCCTGTTGTGCACGTCTAGGCACCTCGGAGCTAAGATTTGTGACGCCGAGACGTGTTACTCGGCGACATGAGTCCTGGCGCCGACCCCAGGGTTCAAAGATGAGTTTACGTCTCTCGGGAGGCCCAAACGTAAATTTTCTTTAAAAAATGTTAAATTATAAAAAATTAGGGCTTTTCTGAATTGAGAAAGACCGTTCCCAACCATCCTTCCGATGATGTGCTAGTGGTACACCGAAGTTTGTTCTTCTCGTGGGTACAGAAGATTTGCTGAAACTTCTGATCAGTCCCGCATACATGATGTACTCCCTCCGCTCGATAAAACAAAACAAGTCGTTCTAATAGCGAAATTTAGTTCAAGCTAGCTTGTTTCTCCGGTCAGAATTCAGAACACTTGTTTTTGGCAACCGGAGGGACTCGAGTTGCTAATAGTAGATGAGAAGATGACGGGACTACGTCACAAGCGCAATCGACATCAGTCGATGCACTTTTGTACATTTTTTTTGGGTGCTACTAGGATTGGAAACCGCAGTCTCGTTTGTATCGAACATTCATACTACTGATTTGCTCTATAAAAAGCAGATACTACTATACTTTTAATTTTTTAAATAAATAATGATCTAATTTGCTAAAGGTGCACTCTCTAATCTTTGCATTCTTGCCAACGGCGAAAGCAGCTTTGACTTTTGAACCACGAAGTGCCTCGATTCCCTGAGACGCACGCCTTGGCTTTTCAAGCGCTTCGCTGAACGAGTAAAAACAGCCGTACGTGATGGAGAAAGAGGAAGGTGCCCATCTCAACTTCCAAGTGCTTTGCTTTGCGGCTACTAGCCAGCTACTGTGAATCCACATCTCTAGTGTCGAAACCTCCCAAGTACCAATCCGCTCTTCCGGTCTCTAGGCCGTGTGCGCACCACTGAGAGCGACGCCCTCCGAGATTGCACGGCGTGCAGGACTGGACGCGGTCGCGCGTGGGACAGCGGGCGACTCCAGGTCGACGAAGATGGGGGCCACAGGCGATGGCGACTCTGGCGGCGGTGACCCGGGGCAACTCGTCATTACAGTCATGGGAACGTCATTAGCACGCGATTAGCGGTGGAGAGAAGGAGCGGTGTATAGATGGGCTGTGCAAGCAGGCCGGAAAGGCGGAAACCCGGGCCTCCAACCGTCACTCCTTCCTTAGCTATAGTTAGCTGCTACACAAACCTCATAGTTTGATTGGTTTCACACGAGGCCGAACAAATAATACAGTACATACACAACCTATAAACTGTACCAAACAGAGGGGAAAATAAGAACAGATCATCACGAAACCTAACCAAACAAGCACAAGTAGCCCCTGATCTCCCCCGGATAGGAACCGGGCTGGAGCAACATCATTCCCCATGAACGGACGATGGATCAGAAGTAATACCGGCGGTTGTGGTTGTTGCGGATGGCACAGCAGCCGAGCGAGTAGACGAGCATGAGGAGCAGGAGGACGGCGACGTTAAGCGCGGCCACGGCCCTCCAGTGGAGCCTGGCGCGTGGCCACCACGCCGGCCTTGCACGCGTCGCACTGGAAGCACAGCACCCGCTGGTCGTTGCTCCACGCGCGGCAGTCGATGGCGTCCGCCGTCGTGGACGCGCCGGACGCGGGCGGTGCCCAGAACGTCGCGTTGACGGACTGGAACCCGCAGTACGCCGGCGGCTTGCAGCAGCCAGACTGAACCGTTGGGCTTTGGCGTTATATTACATAGTAGAAGAGAATACATTATATACCACGGTCGTCGTGTGATGATTACCACGCTGGCATGTCGAGTGGACCAACCGTGCCGTGCCCGTGCATGGTGGTGCCATGTATTGCCATGCAACGCAACTGGCGGATCCGTGTATGCGTACCTGAACGAGCGGCAGGTACCGCTGGTACAGCTCGCTGGCGTTGATCCCGCCGTGGACCAAGCAGCCGCCGCACACGCCCGCGTCCGCGATGCAGCTCTGGATCCGGTGCCACCTCTCGTAGTCCCCGACCCTGTCCTGCAGCCAGCCGGAGTAGTCGCCGATCCGGTACTCCCCGTACCCGGCCCCGGACAAGGCGGCGGCGGCGCCCCTGTTGGTGACGGCGAACGCGAAGGCGGTGGCCACGAACATGCCGATGAGGATCACGAAGATGGCCACGACGTACGCCCAGAGGAGCGGCGTGGCGCGGCAGCACGCGCCGGCCAGCGCCAGGAGCGACAGCAGGAGGAACGCGGCGCCCAGCGCCATGGCGGGCCCGCGCCCGCACTAGGCGCTGGCACTCGGTGGCCGGTTGCGCCAGGACGTAGGCGCCCGCGCCGATGAGCGCCACGGAGGCAAGGAGGGAAACCAAGTTCAGGGCGCCCAGGACGCCGTTGGAGAGGTTCACCATGGCTGGAGGCCTGGCCGCCTGGAGTGCTGGACCGGTGGACCCTACGTGCCCACGTCCTTCCTTGTCCCAGTATGTCTGTCTGTATGCGATCTGTCCCCTATAGAACAAATGGCTTCTGTGTTTGCCTCGCTCTAGTTGCAGGGTTGATTTTGCTAAGCCCAGTAGCCCTTGTTCGCTTCATCGGACTCCTGCTTCCTGCTTGGCATCCATTGCCTGCTGTTTGGGGATCAAGAATGCAAACAAAAGAGCGTAGGGAAATGTGGCCACGACATTGATTTTCTTCGGCTTTGCGCCGTGCTCCAGTAACTCAGTTTACGCCCTAAGGCCAGCCTCAACGAGAGTTTCATTACGTTGTTTTCAAAACTACCATATCATTTGAAATGAAATAAAACTTGAATGAAACACCGACTCTTCAATAGAGGGTTTCATTCTATGGTTTCATAGACATTTAATTTCAAAACTCATGGAAAATAGGTAATCGTGCCAAGAGACATGTCTTCTCTCTCTTCTTAAATACACTGCCATATCATTAAAAGTGCCAATGTGGCAATCTATTTAATGCAAATGAAACTCAAATAAAACTTCCACGAGGACTGACCTTCCTAGAACTTAGATTTATCCCGGAGTTTGCAATGTGGCACTTCAGGACGACTCCGGAGGCTGGCCTAAAAATGCTGCAGAGGCCCAGAGGGCTTGACCACGAGGAACGAAGCGAGCACGCCAATTTTGCACCGGACCGCTGCGCCACCAGCTCACCACCTAGGCCTCTCGCCCCACGCCACGCCGGCAAGCCACGCGCGTCGTTCGCTTCGGCAAACAGGAAAACAGCACGAGCAGCAAAGCACCAAGATCGAACGATCCAAGGAGTGCACCAGCACCAGATCATAGATTTTACTAAAGTATCATATATTGGCACCCGCAAATGCAAGACTGTATAGTTGACATTGTTTCAGCTAAGAACCATACATGCTAGAGAATATCCAGCGAATCAAAAAATTTTGTCGAGCAACGAGTGACCACTGATCAACAACCACCAATCCTTTGGCCATCTTTAAGATTTGAGCAGAATTAGTAAGGCTTGAATTTCCTCTGGGCCCTAAGCTCCTGTATCCTTTTCTTATCCTGCTCGAACTTGCTCTGCAACATTGCCAGTTCTGCGCAAGAAACACAAAGCTGTAAGTTCCCAGGGCGTATCATTCAGATTATAGAAAGGACATCATGCAGCACAGATGGCTGGGAAAAAAAGAAACTCTTTCCATGAGTCAAAAATAACTTGAACTAAATAAATTGCCGAGAAGAAAAACTTGAAGTAAATAAATCAGAAAACAATAGTAACCGGTTTCGGATTTCTGAACTAACTAGAACCTCAATGTATCACACACACACACAAGAGCAAGAGAAAAAAACTTCGACACATATGGTTCATTTGAAGTCCAATCAAGATGGCAAAATGGTTGTGGACTTGTGATTCCAACCAAACTGAAGATGAAAAACCCAACCAAACTGAAGATGCAAAACAGTAAACTTATAATAGAACCAAATACTACCCCCAAAACCAGAACAGACTATCAAGCTGCAGGTACAGGTTAGTCGAATGGCAAACAATTGAAAAGAGTACATTTTATCATGGCTGATGAACTGATCGACATTTACAACTTACAAGTTGAAGCAGCATGAATGTAGTCTGGGTTCTATCATGTGTAGTAATCACGGAGTGGAATAACAAATAAACAGTCTTGTTAAGCAACGATGACATACCACTGAGGTGGGCTTCTCGTTTCTGAAATCTGTAGAAGTTCATATCAACTTCCTTGGGTTTCTTGTTAGCCATTTTCTCTTGCATTGCAGTAAGAGATACAGAGCCAACAGCTGTTCCAGTTTCAGCATCAGTGGTCTTTTTCCTCCCCTTGTGATGCACCACAACCGTCCATCCATCTTCTGCTGCATGGGCCTCTCTTTCTTTCCTCTCCTGAAATAATCAAGTAGGTATTAGGAACAAACAACTTGCCTGTTTTGCTTCTTCAGACGATATATATGTCATGGAGGAAACACTCACCTTCTCTTGTTGTTCCTCATGAGCAACAATAAACTCATCTATCCTTTCCTGCAAGGCTTTCAAGCCAGGTCTCTTCTGTTTGTACTCCAAGATCCATTCTGTCAAGAGTCAAGACATCACATATAAGCTATTAAGACTTTGGTGCATGAAGCTGCTAATTCTAACAGAAAAGGAGAAGAAAAATGTGAAATTAATTGGATCACAACATCAATCACTAAGAAGTCTGCAACACATATTGCCAACTCTAGAACTTATTGCATCGCAGGACTCAGCAAGCTAGTAGTTAGACTAAAAGATATTTGGCTTTGTATGTCAGCTTTCTTTTGAAGCTGGCACGTAAAGTGAATTCCATCTGTATTGTTCCTAGGAGGAATTTATATATTAATATATAATACACATGAAGGGCGGACCTGGTGCAAGCGGTAGAGTCTTACCGCCTGTGACCGGAAGGTCCCGGGTTCGAGTCGCGGTATCCTCGCATTGCATAGGCGAGGGTAAGGCTTGCCACTGACACCCTTCCTTAGACCCCGCACAGAGCGGGAGCTCTCTGCACTGGGTACGCCTTTAATATATAATTGTCGGGGACCAATACTAGAGTACCCGAAGAGGAGGAGCTAATAACTATCAACGGTTGATTCATCCGAGCGGTCAAGAGCGCGACTACACCTCTTGCTGGGCTCCGCCTCGTCTGACCACCGAGGCCAGGGGCTCCGCCTCAGTGGACACTAAGGCCGCGGGCTCCACCTCGCCCGACCCCCTAGGATCGGCTCCACCTCAGCTAACTCCCAAGGGCGGACTCCGTCTCGTCCGACCCCCGAAGGTTGGCTCCGCCTCGCCCGACATCTGAGGGCCAGTTCCGCCTCGCCCGACGTCCGAGGGCTGACTCCTGAGGGTCGGCTCCGCCTCGACCGACGTCTGAGGGCCGGCTCCGCCTCGCCCGATCCCTTGAACACGGTTCCTAGCAGAAGCTCACGTCGCCGCCAACCACTACGGGCCAGAAAGTACCACTCAAGGTCAAACTTCTGGCATCGTGCAGGGAGCGGTCACATCTCAGCATGACCCGTCCCCACGACATGTCATTCCGGGGAACTCACATCACCCACAGTGACGGACGCGTGGTCACTGTGCTGCCAACTCCTTGCCCAACCACCGTCCAATGTCAGTCAACCAGCGTCAGTTGACTGGCACTGTACCGCTAGCCCCTCGCATGGTTTTCTGTCAGGGGACCCTCTGACCATTCCGTCCGCTCGGATGGGACGGAGGACAAGAATGGCGCACGACGCCAAGCCGCGTAAATTGGCAAGCAGCCACCAGATTCTGCAGACGCCCGCCGCCACCACGATCTCTGTGGTCAATGCGAGACCCACGCGAAGAGGAGGACGACGCACCTCCGGGGGCCTGATTTTCTCTTTCCTTTTTCCTCCTCCCTTCGGTGAAAAAACCCTGCTTCCCATGATCTATAAAAGGGAAAGCAGGGCGTCCCACTGGAAGAAGAGAACCATCGAAAAAGACATCGCATCACATCAGAGACTTGGGAGCTACCTCCCTCTCTCGCCAGTTTGTAACCCCCTACTACAAACTCAGTGCTAGTAACACGAGCAGCTCGAAACTGGACGTATAGGGACATTCACCGAACCAGTATAATCCTTGTGTCCTCTTAGCACACCATCCGGGTCAGACGCGGAATATACAAATTTACTAGCCGGTGCCTACTCGAAACACCGACAATAATACGCATATATAGTCTTTTACTCCCCGCATTGTTCAAAGAAAGTATTGCTTTGGGAGTTAGACTATGAGTAGAGTTGTACCATATACAAATTTACCGGTACCGTAAATATAACATTAGAGAAATAGTCATCAAATGGTCGAAGTTGCTTGTGGAGACTGTTGATGTCCATTGACTGGAGTGAATATTTAGGCAAGTTTCAAAAAGACAACACTAAGGGGCCGTTTGGATCCCTTCATTTTGGAGGAATTGAATCTACTTAATGGATTAGGCTATTTAGCTTGGAATTTGAGATTCCACAACTTTCCAAAGTTCATTTGGATCCCTTCATTTTGGAGGAATTGAATCTACTTAATGGATTAGGATTATATAGGCCGTGGCTCGCTAATAAAAAGGAAACAAACTCCTTTATTCTAGCAATATTTGATTGTCAATCATGGCTTGGAATTTGAGATTCCACAACTTTCCAAAGTTCACGTATAAGTCTATCTCAAATTCATAGGGTGGAAGGTGGAAATTGATTCTATAGATCACCATGTTATGTTTCTACTCTACAACTTATAGCACGCTCTTCAACTCGCTTCCCCATAGTAGAAATGCAACCTATAAGCATCTGTTTTGCATAGCTAACAATAGTATACAAATATATTCCATATACAACTATATTAGCTTAATTAATATATGCCTAAATTATAATTCATTGGAATGAATTCAATTCCAAGGATCCAAACAGGGCCTAAGAGTTCTTTGGATATAGTACATTCAATATTTAATTGTGAACACTACTTTCCATCAAATAACTTCACAAAGAAATGTCAGCGTAGACTAGCAAAATAGTATCTCAGATATAAGAACTCAAAAACAGAACATTACTTTTCATTCCTCTGGAACAGTCTTCATCAACTGATGGAACCTCATCAGCGTTTGCAGTACTAACTTCAACATGCCTCTCCAAGTTGTTATTATCTTTACATGATGCATGCTTATCTTTCTTCTTGGCCTTCCCAGGTTTTTTAACTTCCACTGCAATCAATGAACATACATGCCACAGAAAGCATGAACATTTATGCAAAACATTGAATTCATACTTCAGAACAACTTTGACTCAGAGACAACCCTGCTAGTCTTACTTTTCTTTCCCCTCTTTGATTTTTGAGGCTCTTCATTATCCACATCTTTACTCAGTGCTGCAAGTTGGTTGACATCAGATGCATAAATATTAGCTATAAGGTAAATTATAAATGGAAGAACTACTATATAATGAGAACACTAGGACATAATATAGATATCAACTGGTTCTTGCACGAACTCACAACTTAAACCATTTAAGCATGAGAAAAGATCAAGGCAATCAATTTGTCAAGACAAATGCTCAGCACCAATAAGCAATCTTACCACTTTGAGTTTCTTCATTTTGATTTTCATGCAGGATTTCTTCTGCCTCAGTAATCCCAGCAGAGCTCTTCCCTCCCTTTACCTTCCTTTTCTTTTTCTTCAGCTTAGGTGCTCCAGCATCATCAGTAACAACTGAACTTTCATATACGACGGCAGGACTGCTAATTTCCATTAGCTTCTTTTTGCTCTTCTTCTTCAGCTTAGGCATTGCAGCATCTTTACTGTCTGATAGTAATTCCACCACATCATCTGCCCTATCATGATTACTCTTAACATTGGCATGCTTATTTTTCTTCTTCTGCTTCACCAATGGAATTTTCTTTCTCCATGCCAATTCTTTATCTGGCATTCAAAGATGAAGATGGAAAACATTGCCTTAGACAATTCTAGGCCTGTTCCACATTTTCATTACCCAAAAAGAAGGAAAAAAAACTTGATAGTTGTACCCAGGGCACAGCGAACAACTTAAGAACTGTAAGATACAATGAAACAAATAAAAGTTCAGGGTACAAGATAAAACTACTCTCGGATAAAACTATTGATTCTGATTTCTGAAACACAAGTATATAAAAGAAATGGGAGGAAAAGGACAAGAAATCCATACTATTACCTTCTTTAACGCCATGCCCGACAGCGGGTTCGCTATCGACGGCACATTCCAACGCTCTGTCATTCTTCCTCTTCAGCTGCTTCCTCTTCACCCCAAGCGCCAATTTCTTGTCCTCCTTCGCTTCCCGCGAACCCTTCTTGTCTAGAAAGAAGCAAACTCTCACTTTCCCTCCCTAATTCGAACTAATACAATCAGGAAGCAACGGAATTCAGAGAGGCGAAAGTGCCGAACCTTCGGATTTCCCCATAGCAACAGATTAGTAACCAAGCCTACGGAGGAAAGCAGCCAAATGGGTAGCTCCGCAGAGATCTCCGTCCGTGACTTGCCCCAGGCTGTGGCGGTGCCGGAGAGGGGTGTCGGCTGTCGCCAGTCGGCGTCGGGGAACTCCGATGAGTTTAGGTTTTGGGCCTGGTATTGGGCCTTTCAGACAGATGAACCCAAACAAAGGTGGCTCCCGTTGATCAAAAAAAAAAAAAAGTGGCTCCCACGTTCCAGTGACTTGCAAAGGTGCCGCGTGGACCCGACCTGCCAGTTTATAGGGATTACGCTTTGCGCCTTCTAAAACCCTAGCTCCAGAACGAACTAAAACCCGCAACCGCGAAGCCACTAGTCGAAGGCGGCGGCGGCGATGGGGAGCGACACGGAGACGGAGAAGAAGACCCCGGTGGCGTTGATGCCCATCGCGAAGCCCCTCGCTGGAAAGAAGCTCTGCAAGCGGACCCTCAAGCTCGTGCGACGAGGTTCGTGAGACTTTCTTCCTCGTCCTCGCTCTCGCCCTCGCCCTCGCCCAATTCGATTTCGTGTTTGCTCCATTCGGTTGTGAGTTTCTTCTCATCCTGTTGTGATTCGGTTCTTGGCGAATTTGCAGCCTCCGAGGCCAAGTGCCTCAAGCGCGGAGTCAAAAGAGGTAGTCAAGAGCATTCGCCGCGGGAACAAAGGGTAAGTCAAATCTAGTTTTTTTTCCTTCCTGTCCAGTGCTTGATAAACTTTGAATTGTCTAATTGGCTTCGTGGCAATCAGCTTAGGGCAAATGGTTCTCACTTAGAGTTTATATACATCTTCACTTACGAAATGGTATTATGTACCGTAGTGGTATTTTACTCATATAAAAAATTGCAACAATACCTACCATTTGGATTTGATTTACTTGGAAACCCACATGAATAACAAATGGTAATTGAATGTACTTATTGTGATGAAATTGTCCATTTTTTGGATGCAAAATGAACTGTTGTCTACTGTGGAGAAATTGCTTCTCCGGATGTTTAGATTTCCTAAAGCATTTATTGCCTAATTGTTAGCATCATCGGAATCTGCTTCGTTTTTTTGCAGGTTGTGTGTGATTGCTGGAAATGTTTCTCCTATTGATGTGATTACACATGTTCCAATACTATGTGAGGAAGCTAATGTTCCTTACATATACGTTCCATCAAAAGAGGTGGGTTCACATTTCCTCCATTTTATTTAGGCTCAATTATTCGGTAGTGGTGTGGGTATAAAATTCTGTCACTTCCGTGTAACATATTATGAGATGACAAATACTACTGCATGGTGCATGTCCATATAAACAAAGAATGCTAAAAGTTGCTTATCAGATGACCAAAATCCATAAATTTCTTTATACATTGAAAATTCTGTCATCTTCCTGGTAACTATTGCTTGTTAGTGAAGGCCTGTTTTAGGTCTGGTTACATAACAACAAAGTACTACAACCTATTTGTCTTGTCATTTGATACCTATTCTAAATGAATCATTAAAAGACATCCATGGTCATGTAAATACTAATATGGCATGTTTGGTTCCTAGCCTAAAAAATTTGCCACTTGCCTAAGGTTAAGCGCTCAAAATATTTGCCACACCTTAAGCCTAAGAGAATCTTGCTACACTTTTTGAGTCATTGACGTGCGGGGCCTAATCTAACGGTGGCAATCTTACCACACTTCGTGGTGGTAACCAAACAATGGCCAAAGTTGGTCAAATTTGCCTAACCTTAAGCATGGCAAATGATGGCAAGTTGTGGCTAGCAACCAAACACCCTCAAAATACTCTACCTGAAGTTAAAATCCATACTTGGAGATTAAAAATAGAACAATGGTAACATGGGGAAATAATACATGTTAAGTTAGTTCTTTAAAGTGTATTGCAGTTTCTTATTTATAATGAATGCTTATGATAGAAGAGAAGCCCAATATACTGATGTGTCATTTACCTTCTGTACAGGATCTTGCGACCGCGGGAACTACGAAGAGACCGACTTGTTGCGTCTTGGTTCTGACCAAACCAACCAAGGGGGAGCTCAGTGAAGAGGTGAAGGATAAACTGAAGTCAGACTATGACCAAGTTGTAACGGAAGTTGCTGAGGCTACGTCTGCAATGTTCTGAGGACCATTCCAGGACCATATTATCTGAGAATCCAGCAACTCCCTGTGCACATCTTTCTTGGTGTAGTATGTAACTTGATCCTGTCAGCCTGCCCTGTTTGCGTGAACCGCACCAGTATGTTTTGCACGGTGGCTGGAGCTATATGACTATATGAGTTTGCCTATATATTATTATGGATTATCCTTGTTGGCGTATTATCCTATTAATGATTAGATTTAGCCAATTATGATCAGTTCGGTGAGCACACTGTTTCCTTGGGTTGTCAAATCTTGGTAGCTAGTAGGTGCGTTCCAGGTCTTGTGTTGATGACTTATCACAAGATGTGCCTGTAAATCTTGTGGTATCTTAGCGCCTTATATTAGGATTAGTTTCTGGCTTGTGCTCGTTTGGGGCAGCTAAATTTTGGGTGCATATGGTTCAGAAGTTCTCTTGGGTTCGACCAGCGTGCGGCAAAGTGCTCTTCGTTCTGTTTGTTTGATGTTTGATGGAAGCGTGCGGCAAAGAGCCAAAGAGCTCTTCGTTCTGTTTATTTGATGGACAGTTTTCTTGACCTCTGGTGTCTGGAGCCACGCAAAGATTGTCGGATCGATAAAAGCGCAGTCGTACTCGTATTACAGCACAATACAGCTGTGCTACCGTCCCTTCAGAATTCAGAGCTGTTCGCGGGTACGCAGCTGTGCCTGTGCTACCGTCCCTTCAGAATCCAGAGCTGTTTGTGGGTACGTAGGGAAACTGCTCAGGTTTTTGCACTGGTACTCTGATCTTTTGATGCTTCATCTGGATCTTAGCTTCACGGCGCTTCTGTTTGAAAGCTTGTGGCAAACACAGGAGACACGACAAAGTTGGGTCCCCGGGATTTCTGTGCTTTGTTACTGTTGGGATATGTCAAGCACCAGTCTCTCTAGGAGACTGTGGGAATGACTACTGAGCCAGGGAGGCTCACGCTGGAGTTGTTGCGTGCTTGCTTTGAGAGATTTGCGCTGCTCTCGAGCTGCCGCGCCGGGGCGCCAACCACCCTTTCATTCCAATCCCGGCCAAGCAAAGGAGTGGGTTGGGTTAAGTAGGATTCTAATGCGTGGCCAAACTTGTGGAATGTAGAGATTCCCTTGGGATAGTCATGCCCTAAACAAGGACAAGCAAAAGATCCAACGGCAAAATGGCATCTATCTTGCAATAGTTTGTGAGATTCACTTGCCACTTCAATGGTACTACCTGCAGATAGCTATGTTGTAAAAGCAAATAACCATCCAAATTTGGTTTAAAAAAGGTTTATTGTTTGAAAAGAAAATTAAATTAAACGTACCAGAATCGTGGCACGGTTTTATTTGCGTAGAAAGCCCTTCCTGAGGAACCTTTTTACCATGCTGGTCAAAGATACTTGAGGGAGGAATGGCGAATGGCGAATGGCGTAAAGAGCCTTTTTGTTGATGACCTGACTGGCCACCACGCGTTCATGCTTGAGGGCTGAGATCACCTGGTCAAATGGTCAAACCCCAGCATACAAGGTGCATGATACTTGCAAGGTGCAGTGCAGTGGCTGTGAGCAGTGGATGTGGATGCACAGATCTTCTACAGCCGTATCCTGGGCTCCTGGCATGCATGCCACTGTATGCTCTGTGCATACGCGTGAAATGGATTCTCTGTTGTCCTTGGGTCAGTACTCTTGTTGACCTCGAAGATTGCTGTAGTAGTAGTACTGAATCTATGCAGCTGTTGCTTCAGCCGCAGCCTAAACTAGCACAGCTGATGAGGCCACATCTTCTTCGCAACTACTAAGTGCCATCATTCAGATGATGACCATACATAGTTGCACGGTTGCAAAAGGATAATCCAAACCTCGTGCTTAGAAAAGCAACCAGGCCAATGATGCAGGCTTCCCTTGGACAGGAAGTTGAGATTTGGACAAGTGAAACAACATTATGACTCACGCCCCCATGCTTGGAGCTTTATCAAGCATGCTCACTTCTGCTGGAACATCAGTAAAACCCGGGCTATCATCTTTGTCTACCCTGACGACCTATCTTTTTCAGTTTTTCATGCCCCCGTGTACGCTCCAATCTCCTTATCTCTTTGCACTACCAACCAATGCCTGTACGGCATGGTATGGTATGGCACATTGCAGTATTGCAGATTGGCAATTGGCTTTTGCTCTTTACACACACACATACAATGACATAAAGAAGAGGTGCGGCAGAGGAAAAGAGAAAAGCGAAGGTGGGGGGGGACAGGCAAAGGCAGAGGCAGCAAAGCATCCCTCATTTCACTGAAAAGAAAGGTCACGTCTTTCGTGCAAGCTAGCCTTGCAATGATTTCAATCCCAAGGACAGGAAGAGGCGAAGAGCATGCCCATCCCTTCTCCTTTGCAGATCAAACAAGGAATAGAGGTTGATGGCCTCCTGGATCATCACCAGACTGAAAGCAATCTGTTTGCCCTAAATATCACATAAACCTTTCAGTCTCCCTTCCTTAAACACTACTCTACATGCGCCCATCTACTTCTAAACAACAAGTCCCATCACATGACACAGGAAAGCACGGATGACCCTCTAATAATTGCTTATATATATGAAAGAGAAGCTATTAGAATCTCTAGCTTTGTTTTCCACTTTTTTAGATGCCTTTTTTTGGAAAATGGAAAATATCCGGTCTCTGCAAGACTGCAACCACACATAGCCAATCCTTACAAGATTTTCAGCTCAAACACTACTAAGAACTTTTACAAGTATACTCCGTACATGTGTGCAAGCATTTGCATGATAGTAATCTTTCTTTTGTACTAACTGCCAAGTGAAGTGATACAAACAAGACATGGTAGTAACCTAGCGCCCAGGCTACTGCTATTCTGCTACAGTAGACAGAAGGAACATGATGGTAGTACTCCTATTGTCCCTCTTGTTCTTGTGACCGGGATTGCGTTGCTTTTAGCTGGCTCTTGATTCTCCATCCACACTGCAAGAAGACCAAAATTCCCTTGTCCACTTCCCCCTCCACTTCAGGTCAGGTGAGAGCCGAGAGGCACTTCCTCCCTGTCATTATCCTCCCTCCCTCCCCACTCCCCCAGTCTCTCCTACTAACTAAAGACACTTTGCCCCGGTTGTTTATCGCTCACACCAGAATTCTCACTTCCCGAGCTAATTGTCCAAATGCCCATGCTTTGGAGAATTCTTTTGTTGCAAGAATCCCCAATCAACTGAAAGGTGCTGTTGTGAGTCGTGACCTGTCATAGTCTCACTCCACTGCAACACACCCACACTCCAATAAAGCTGATGTCTTTCTTGAGTGGGATCAATAATAATCTTGGACTAGATTAGCCTAGGCACCTTAAGTTAACAAACACACCGTCACTGTTTTTCATAGCCTGGTTTCGTTCTTCACAGGCCCCAAGAACATAAAAGGGAGGAAGAGAGAGAGAGGGGAGAGGGAGGAGGAATTTTCTTGCCTCCTTTGCTGTAATTTTCTATTCCAAGCATGCTCAGGTGGCAGGCATGTTTGTCCCCACCTCGGCCCTCGCGGCCTCGCCCCCTCCTTTTGTGCTCCTGCTTGCTTGCGGCCAGAGCACAGGCATCTTCTTTTGTGTCATTTGCATGCTATACTGACAGCTTCTCAGAGCAGAGGCATCCCGCATCCGGCGCCCCTTCCAGGCTTCCACTGCCACTGGCAATTTGGTTCCATGGGAAGAGAAAGGCTGCATGATTCTTCCTCGCCTTGGCCTCACCCTTGCTTGCTTCCATGTTTGAACACGGAGCAAGCTCCTGAACTCGTTGCCGAGGAGGCCACGCTCTTGCGCTGCCTTGGCAATGGGGGTGGTTCTTGCTGCTTCCTCCCTGGTCCTGGTGCTGCTCCTGCTCTTCTGCTCTTTTGGGCCTGCAAGCGGCCTCCTCTCCCCCAAGGGTGTAAACTATGAAGGTCAATGTCAAGAGATATCTTGTTTATTTTGTGTTTGTTCTCTTTCATTGGTCCTTATAATCATCCTTGTGATTCTCTCAAATCAAACAACTCTCTAATTGGTTCTTCATTTTTTTCCCGTTTTGCTACATTGTTGTAGTGACAGTCTCTCATTTGTTTGCAGTTCAAGCTCTCATGATAATCAAGAACTACCTCAAGGATCCTCATGGTGTGCTAAAGAACTGGGACCAAGACTCTGTGGATCCTTGCAGCTGGACCATGGTCACTTGCTCTCCAGAGAATCTTGTCACCGGCTTGTAAGCAAGTCACCTACCACTTTTTGTGTGTGCGCGCTTCAGCTCAATCAATGTTTCCTCTGCATCTTATCGTTTCTCTGGCTATTTCCATTTGGCAGAGAAGCACCAAGCCAGAACCTTTCTGGCATTCTCTCCCCAAGTATAGGGAATTTGACCAACCTTGAGACAGTGTAAGCTTTGCTGCCATGGTTAGCTTAGCCAAATTTCTACATTTACTATGTTTCTTGGGGCAAGAAGAGATCTCATTTTGGTTCTCTATGTGTTCTTTATAGTCTTCTGCAGAACAACAACATAAACGGGTTAATCCCAGCAGAGATTGGCAAGCTAAGAAAGCTCAAAACGCTTGACCTGTCCAGCAACCACCTCTCTGGTGAAATCCCAAGCTCTGTGGGCCACCTTAAAAGCCTTCAGTATCTGTGAGTGCAATTCTGCTCCACTGTACTAGCTTTGAACAGTTGGACTTCTGTTCCACCGTACTTGTCTTGAATGCTATTCTGGAGGTTTTCTATTCATGTCCTGTTGTTCCTCAGGAGACACGAAGTGTCTATTCTTACTTTTAATTACTCCAACATTGTGCTCTTACTAGGAGGCTTAACAACAACACATTGTCTGGCGCCTTCCCTTCATCATCAGCTAATTTATCACACCTTATTTTCCTGTGAGTACTCATTGCTTGTTTTGCTGTTCCGTGATATGTGTCCTGTGTTGGCTATGTGGTGATCATTGATCACTGTTAACTTGCATTCTTTCAGGGATCTGTCCTACAATAATTTGAGTGGTCCAATCCCAGGGTCCCTGACAAGGACTTTCAAGTAAGGCTATAGCCTTCTGTTATTTATCTTGACCAAAATTTCCACTTCCACTGAAACATATTTGCCTTCAAACTTTGAGTTACCAGGAATAAAAATATTCACACAATTATCTTGCAGCATTGTAGGGAATCCACTGATCTGTGCAGCAATCATGGAACAAGATTGTTATGGGTCTTTACCTATGCCAATGTCTTACGGCCTGAATGACACACAGGGTATGCAGAGTCAATCAGTTCATGATGCTAGCAATTGTATTAAGGACACTTGTGCTCAATTATCTCACAGATTCAAGTATAATTTTGTAGATAGCAAATTGATCTAATGACAACTTTTATCTAAAGGAACTCTGGTGCCTGTGAAAGCAAAGAGCCATAAAGTTGCAATTGCATTTGGTGCTACAACTGGCTTCATCAGCCTCGTTTTCCTTGCCGTTGGTTTGCTATTCTGGTGGAGGTGTAGGCGAAACCGGAAGACTCTTTTCAACATTGATGGTAAGTAAAATGCTTAAGTTACTAATCAATTCATGAACTAAGTACCTTGATCGTGAATCTTGATGGTCAGTGTTTGATCTTCATCTTACTGTATTGGCTACTGCAGACCAGCACATAGAGAACGTCAACCTCGGAAATATGAAGCGGTTTCAATTCAGAGAACTCCAGGCTGCAACAGAAAACTTCAGCAGCAAGAACATATTAGGAAAAGGCGGGTTTGGTATCGTTTACCGGGGGCAGCTCCCAGATGGAAGTCTTGTAGCCGTCAAGAGGCTCAAAGATGGTAATGCTGCAGGCGGGGAAGCACAGTTTCAGACTGAAGTCGAGATGATCAGCTTGGCAGTGCACAGGAACCTCCTGAGACTCTATGGATTCTGCATGACCGCCAGTGAGAGGCTACTGGTCTATCCATACATGTCGAATGGGAGTGTCGCATTGCGCCTGAAAGGTAAGCAGTTTTTCAAGTTATGAATGCACTAGTCACCAGTGTCACGCGCCTTTCTTTGTTGAAGATTAAATTTCCTCAAGTAAATGTATATGGAATTAAACATGACTGCTTGATTTTATTCCCAAACAATGTGACTGCCTGATATAATTGAAGGCAGAACCTACCCAAGCTGAGAAGCAGAACAAAAGAAGATTTGAAATTTGATTTTTTTTCGTTCTGTTTCCATTTCCTCTCCTTTGGGCAGAATATTAGAACAAAGAATATGATTCCCTTATAACCAAAACATTAACTTTTTTTTCACCAACTTAAACTACAGGGAAGCCACCACTGGACTGGATCACCAGAAAGAGGATAGCACTTGGTGCAGCACGAGGTCTACTGTACCTGCACGAGCAGTGTGATCCCAAGATCATCCACAGAGACGTTAAGGCAGCAAACATACTGCTAGATGACTGTTGCGAAGCAATTGTCGGGGACTTTGGGCTTGCAAAGCTCCTAGACCACCGTGAATCACATGTCACCACAGCTGTGCGGGGAACTGTCGGCCACATCGCTCCTGAGTACCTCTCCACCGGCCAGTCATCTGAGAAAACAGATGTCTTTGGTTTTGGAATCCTGCTGCTGGAGCTGATCACTGGTCAGACGGCACTGGAGTTTGGGAAGTCATCAAATCAGAAGGGAGCCATGTTAGACTGGGTAAGTTAATGCAATATCAGTTTAATATGGTCTACATAACTTGTTCTTTTATTCTTTGACCTGCCAATGCCCCATTCTAGTTTCTGACCCTTGGGAGGAATTCCAATTATATAGACAAGCTAGTTAGAGGTTTACTAGCTACTCCCAAAGGGACATTGATGCTGTTCAGGGAGTAGTTTATTAGCAAGTAAACTAATAAATAATAAGTACCCTCCCAAAGTTAGGAATTCCCCTTAATAGAGAAGGCACGGCATATGATCATACCTGAGCTAACGGACATTGATGTTGTTCAGGTGAAGAAGATGCACCAAGAGAAGCAGCTGGACATACTTGTCGACAAGGGCCTGGGGAGCAAATATGACCGCATTGAGCTGGAGGAGATGGTGCAAGTGGCACTGCTATGTACTCAGTTCCTCCCTGGTCACAGGCCCAAAATGTCAGAGGTGGTCAGGATGCTGGAAGGCGATGGGCTTGCAGAGCGGTGGGAGGCGTCACAACACACTGAGTCACACAAATTCAAGGTGCCCGAGTTCTCCTTCAGCCGCTGCCACTCTGACCTGACGGATGACTCGTCGCTGCTGGTGCAAGCAGTGGAACTTTCTGGGCCGAGATGATACCATTGGAGACGGTCTGAGGCAAGAAGTATTCAGCAGTTGTTTCCCAGTAGAATATGTAAATACTACAAAGTGAAGCAACTGATGCTGCATGCTGTCAGAAATCGAAGCAGATCTCAATCAGCTGAACTGTACAAAGATTAAAAAAAGAGCACAACCTAGTCTAGGCATGGTACATTACTACATCTACAGGTTATGTAACTGTTGGTAGAATAAGACCATAGAGCAATATTTCCAATTTCTAATGTAAGATTTTTTTTATTTTTTTCTTTATATTCTATTACTCTAGTTATAATTTGTAAAAAGCAAAAACTTTTTCCATTGGAACGCAGAGGCTTGGAAGTGTCCATGTTGTCTGTGCATTGGTCAACTCTCCCAGATTGTTGTTGAAACTCAACTTCTGTCCTACATCTATACAAACACAAAATCTTCACCAGAAAATAGCAAATATTTTGCGTGGATATCTGACTCCATGTAACAGAACATTGTATGATGGCAATAAGGATCAAATATGGAAGGCTACAATTTCAAACCGAAAAAAGTTACAGCAGGCTAAAAATCTGCATGCCCATGTTAGGAATCATCAGGAACATTCTGTTAAAATGATGACCGAGTCTACCTTTTGTGTAATATCAAAATTTGATTATGTAAGTGAGGACGGTCCAGCCTACGGCTGTTAGACCTCCTAGGGCGCTCGTCAGCAGCGCGTCGTTTGTGTTAAACTCTTCCACCTTAATTAAAATGATGCCCAAATCTTTTGCACATTCGAGAAAAAAACATTCTGTTAAAAAAAGGAACCGACAGGGGGTAGGAATTAAACACCAAAGTCTAAAACAAAAGCAAAAGAAATCAAGTGTAACGAAGATCTATGTGGTGAGTATCGGAGGAAGATAATTGGTGCAATAGTTGATTTGTATTGCTGAGCCCCATAAGCAGACTATATAAGAGTATATTGCTTGGAGGCAAGAAGCACCATTAGAGATAAGGCAAGTCAGGATTACATGATCATAATCTACCATATTTGGAGATATCCCAATACTCTAACAACCCCTGCAGTCACAACGGGAGTGGCGCAGACGATGAGAGTGGAGAAGAAGCTGAAGGTAGTAAAAACAGCATCCCCCTTGTAGTCAAATGGTTGATGTGTCGCAGATGTTGTGGCCGGAGTGCTCAAGCAAGGCGGTAGCCCTTTGTGCCAACGTCGAGGTAGCAGAGCATGGGTCGAAGTAGGCATGATAGAAGATGTTGTGCTAGAGATAGTCGTGGTTAGCATAGTAGTCAAGGTAGCTGATGTCGAGGCGGTCGTAGTGATGATGGAGATGTGTCGAGGTAGTCGTCATGGAAGAAGGTGATGCCGAGGATGATGCAGTCAGGGCCATTGAGGACGTAGACAAAAATGGTGATGTATTCAAACCGTCATGGATGAAGCATGCATCGGGTTTGCCACAGGAACACGTCGTGGATGAAGGCACATACTAGTATTACCAATACTATATGTTCTAGGTCGAGGGCCCCAACCATGCGTTAGCGTTTAAAGGTCTAGCAGAGAAGGCCTCGACGATGGTTGTGATGCGTAGAATAGTGGGGTTAGGAGGTGCTAATTGTAGAGAATTAGGGAACACCTCACACCAATTATGGGGGTGGGTGGGTGGGTGGGGGTGGATTTCATGTATATAGTCAAGATACAACTTGGAGTACAAGTTACATAATATACATGTACTAGACTATACATATATCTAATACTCGCCCGCAGTCACAGTGGTAGGAAACTAGACACAGAGACCGGACCTAAAGTCGTTGTCCCTTAGTCATGATGTCCGGGAACCGATGTGCGGAGGAGACATGGAGGACATGGACCTGCCCCAAAGCAATGCAGACGAAGTGAATGTCAATCTCGATGTGCTTCGTGTGACAATGATGAACTGGATTGGCTATCATGTAGACTGCACTAACGTTGTTGCAATAGACAATAGTCGCCAAAGGAATTGAGACATGAAACTCCTGAACCAACTATCGCAGCCAGCAGCACTCAGCAACTGCCCGATTCTCTGCGTCTGCACTAGAACGGGACACTGTAGTCTGCCGCTTTGAAGACCAGGAGACCAAGTTGTCTTCTAGGAAGATGCAATAGTTGGAGGTAGAACACCAGGAGTCTGGGCAGCCGACCCGGTCAGCGTCAGAGTTGGCAGTGATGGAGGACACACCACCACTGCTGAAGTGAAGACCGACGTCGAGGGCGCCCTTAACATAGTGCAGGATGCACTTGATCAAAGTAAGGTGCGGTGCAAGAAGAGGCACACCTGTTGAACAGCGTAGGCGAGGTCTAGGCAAGTCAGAGTGAGGTATTGTAGGGGCGCGTGGGGGCCAACGGCGCCGAAGGGGAAGAGGTCAGGAACATGCGGGCAACGTGAGGTGGGGTGCCCGTGCGGCCGTGGAGTCGGTGGCGCAGGAGAGAAATTAGAACAGAGGAAGGAGCCTGAAGGGGGACTCAAACTCTTGATACCATGTAGAGAATTAGGGAACACCTCACACCTATTATGAAGGGTGGACTCATATATATATTCAAGATACAACTTGGAGTACAAGTTACATGATATACATGTACTGGACTATACATATCTCTAATACTTATGCAGCCCACGATTATCGAAGTAGACGAAGTAGTTGGGGAAGAGATAACGATGCCGGTGACATGGTTGTGCTGGACGAAGAAGCAGTGCAAGAGTAAACGCTCCCACCCGAACACGAGAAGTCTGGGCCAACAGGCTTGCCAGTTTGGACACAAGGTACGCGGGCCCTGAATGCGAGAAGTCTGGGCCAACACGCTTGCCAGTTTGGACGCAAGGTACGGCGATGGTGATAGCGCTCGATGTTGGCGATGAAGAACTCGAATAGCTTGACAAAGACCAAGTGTAGACAGGTGGCAACGAAGAACTTGAGTGTGTGCGTGAACTTCCTACCTCCTCCATTGCCAACACATACTGCGAGGAAAGCAGGTAAGGGCCTCAAGGGGCAAATTATCAAGCACATATATATCAAACCTCATTGAATGCACTATAATTCCTAGTCATGACTCATTATTTTTTGCATGATATGAAGTATCTGGTATCTTCTGTAGACTGTTTGAGTTTGTCCTAAAAAATCAAATGAAAAGGCTCACTAATCATTCTCTAATAAATATTTGAGGCAAAAGCAAAGTATCCACATCGGTCATTCTATCTCAAAAGTTGTATTAGCTATCCAACAGCATACATTTTACAATAACCCAAAATGAAACCATCAATGGTAAATCCTAAAAGAAAAGTTTGGGCACAAACTCTTAACAAAATGATTTCAAGACCAGCAGTGCTACCACGAAGGCTAACATTTGATTAGCATAACCTCTGGTTACATATCGGTTTTGTTAGTTGCAATAACATATGCCACTGGTCATAGGAAAAGAGATCGGGCAGAGATTTGACAGACCAATATATTTGAGTAACTACAACAAATATGCATAGAATATCAGTAAATTTACCTGTACACATCACTTTAGATATTTGCAGACCACCAAGGTGCCAGAGAAACTATCTAGTGACATGGCAGGATGCTTTAGAACTTTTCCCATGTATGTCAAGTTCCTACCTCACATGAGGTTCCAAAAGCAGAACGGCTAAGGGAAATGCCAACAGCTGACTCTGACAGAACCACCCAAATTATATGGCCCACGTGCACCTGCCAGATAACTCCGGTAGTCTATCGGGTGTCCTCGGGGAACCCCGAATCATCCACATTTTACAACTCATACAGGATCAACATGGAGTTACCACAACATTACAATAGTTGGTACAAAAGTAACTTACATCAGAGTGCGGAAGATTTACAATATTAGGTTGCAAAACATGTTCAAAGTAAAAACTAAACTTAAGTTCCAAAGACGGGAGAACTGCAGAAGCAACTTAAGTAAAACACCTAAGGTAGGTGTCGGTGTAGAATGTGACCAACTAGTAAATATTTGTAGTTTTACAAGTGAGGGTCCGTATGCTACTGAGCGTTGTTGCCCATGCCGGTGGGTACAAGATAATGGTAGGCGCCTACAACACTGTTGATGTACTGTAGAATGTTAGATGCATGTGGGAGGTTGTGTTTGCCTTCTTCAGGAATGGTAGATGTCGGTACCTGTAGATACTATTTGATGCCTAGAGGCACGTGAGGAGTGTCACCATGTTCGCCTGGTACGATAGATCCCGGCACCCACAACACTATCGATGCCCAGAGGCATGTCAGGGGCCTTACCATATGGGAGTTAACGGCGCCAACAATACTATAGAGGAAAAAGCCGGCGCCTACAATACTGTTTGTCAAGGCGGTTGTAGAGTACTATTCCTGCAGGCGTACAAGGTATGGTCCCTGGTATCGTAGTTTGACTTACACGCCCTGGCTTGCTTTCTCCGTTCGTCCCTGGCTGCTTCCGAGCGGGCGTCCCCGGTCGGATGGCCCCAGTCGGCCCTGGTCACGATAATTAGAGAAGAGCGGTGAGCAGGGTTTCTGTGCACCCCGATCGGAGACGCAGGGTCGGAGTCGAAAGTGGCGCTTGGGCCAGGCCTTTCGACCGGAGAGGCCGTCCGGAGGAGGCTGGAGTCCGAAGCGAGCACTCCGGTCGGAGAGGTGGGCCAAAGTAGTCGACAAGCGGGCGCCGTTCCTCTTCGGTCAGACCTTCGATCGGTGACTGGACCGCTCTTCTGGCTAGTTGTTTTTAGACTCTTGGGCCGACCCATGAGTTGTGTGCTGCCTGCTTGGGCCGAGCCTTAGTGTGGAAGCCGGTCCCCGAGGGACCCCGGGTTTATGAACCCGACAGGAGCCCCCGAGCCCTCGAGCGATTCGGGCAGAATCGTCCAGGGGATTTTTGTTTTTGACGGCGGGTGCGCGCGAGCGCACTGCCATGTAGTTTTCGAGCCCCAGCGGTTTAGGCAGAAACCGTCTGGGGGTTTTCTCTCTGTCGATGGGGAGGTTTTCTGTTT